AAAAAAAAAAAAAAAAAAAAAAAGGCATACCAATTTTCTGACAAAGAAAACAAGATCATCATCTTGGCGTCCCCTTGACTCCTTGCCACGGACGAAATACAAATCAAAGACATCGTGCCAAAACTTCATATCCATTTCGATATCAGAAGCATCTTGCTCCTCAACCACCGTTTTCCCTATTAAGTTGGAGTGCTTCTTCACCATGCTCAACAATTCATACCTTAGGAAGACAAATCAGAACAAACTAATAATTACTAACAAACAAAAAAGGCGATGCAGGACAGTACCATTAGTTTATTAGCGCAGCCAAATTATTCTAGGAAAGAAAGTCACCGAAAAAAGAATGCACGATGCAACATCATGTGAGATTGCATTAAGCATCCACTACCGAATCATAATCATAAAATTGGATACCAAAGAAGCCACGGAAAAAGAGAGAGAACAATAACACAAATGTGATTTGGAATGTACCTTGAGGGGGTTTCGCCGCCATCGCCAAGCATCTCTTCTTAATTGGTTCCTAGAAACTAATTTAGCTTAGGGTTTATGGCCAAGATTCGTAGACTATGTGATACCAAGCTTCTCAATTTCTACAGTAAACGAGAAGAGAAGGAGTAGAGAAGTTTTTGTTTGTTGCGGTTTAACACGTTGCGGCACAGCGAGAGAGAAAATCTTATTTCTGTTAAATAAATGTTAGTACCGCTGAGTATTAAGTTGTCGTTGTAGTATAGTGGTGAGTATTCCCGCCTGTCACGCGGGTGACCCGGGTTCGATCCCCGGCAACGGCGACTTGTATTTTAGCCCTTTTTATTCTTGTTTCTTTCTAATTTTTTTTGTCCAAGGGGTTCCTTTTTCCAACTTCTTTTTTTCTAGATATAGTTCTCATTTTTTTTTTGCATTTAATTCCCCCAAAAAATAATCCTTTTTTTTTTCTTTCAAGTTTTTTTATTGTCTATACTTTTTTTTTTGTTCGGAGTATCCATCGCCGACAGCAGTAACTAATTTCCTCGTTACGTTGAAGGCACCTCAAAGGGTGGGATAGTTGGCCCCAAGATTTAACGCGGCTGCATGCGGCTGCATACACAAGGCAGGATTCGAACCCCTGACATTGCTTATTTTATTGTCTATACTTTGAGAGGGCTTTCTTTTTCCATTTTCTTTTTCCTAAATGCACTTCTCATTTTATTTTATTTTTTGTATTTAATTCCTCCAAAATTTAATCATGTTGTATGAAATCCAAATAAAAAATTAAAACAAAAAGAATCCCAAATCATTAAAAAAAAAATGGAATATGCAGGATTTACGTTGACATGCGAGGTCACTTCGAAATTATATATATATCAATAAAAGAAATATGCATAAGTTAAATTGTTGCCTCATCGACCTTTCTTAGGCCTGTGTTATTAATTTAATTTAAACATAATTTATGGGTAAATTCTATGATGGAAGAGCACTTAAATGATTTATCCATGAAAATTAATTATATTTAATTATTAGTATGTTTATAAAGATTTGTCATGGTTAATATACTTCGTAAAATCTTTAAATAAAACATAATTACTCACATTTAAGAATTTATACTCATTTTTATATGGATATGCACATTATAACATGTATATAATTATAAATATAATTAAAAATAATTATATATATATATATATATATATATATCGTATATATACAACTATCTAGTATAGAATAGTATAAAATCTTAAGTTTTGGTCAAAATGATCATACAACATCTTTTAAGAGTCTGTTCCAACTAACCCTATTATATTTTAATGAAAATCATGATCATCGCAATTCAAATTACATAAAAAATGTGTAAAAATAAATTAAATTTTAAAAACATACTAATATAAGAATAAAATATTTATATTACCACTCACATATAAACCATATATAAACAACTCATGACATACAACAATCGTCAAATAAACCTATTTGAACGCAATGCACAATCCGATTTAAACATTCACCGCCATCATATCGTATCACAAGGTAATCAATCATCTAGCACATGTGAACAACCATCAACTCAACTTATATCACATGTACACACATCATTGTTAATGTGTCATCATATATCTATATAGATTTTCTAATATACATTTCAGTAATCCAAGTGATTTAATTCTATCAACCAGATTAATCCCCTCACTCTTGTCAAGCTTGTCATTCTTTATTCCAAATAATTAAATTACCATTGCAAGAACATGCCATGGACCATCGTCGGAGCAATTTTCAGCTGCCACTGCCCCCTTTTCATTTTTTATCCTTGTATTTTCTCTCTCTATACTCCTTCCTCTCTTTTTTTTTTATCCTAACGTTAATTTCTTTCTTCCTCATTTCTCTTTATGTACTCCCATTGCTCACAACTTCGATAAACCGCCGCAAATGCAACCTTTTATTTTCTCCCTCTCATCCACTTCCGGCTAAGTGGGCCTCCACAAGCAGTGGTGCGCTGCTTCTCCTTACGTCCTTCATTCTTTTTGTTAGTGCTTTCTCTCTCTTTGATAGTATTCTTCCTCTCCCTCACTCATTTTAGCTTTTGATTTGTTTCAATCTGCTGGACATTGAAATATTATTCAACACCCTCATTGTGGGAATCCTTAAAAAGAAACTCGAAAAGGAAATAATTCCAAAAATAAAATTTTAGGATAAAATACTATTTAAATTTGATTTCTTTTTAATAGAAAAGATTACAAGTCATAACAAGGATTAAACTTAGGTATATAATTACTATTTAAAACTGATTGAATGCCCATTAAATCTTTAATAGCCGATAATTTTGATGGTTTAAATGAAGCATGTGCAATAGTACGTACTCTACCCTAGAATGCACCTATTTTATGTGGCTTTTATCTTATGATTCTCTATGTGTTCATCTCACTACAAGCAATCAATTAGGTTTTACTGATTTAGTGATAGGTTTTTGTCGTGGTTTGAAACGCAAAATTAAGAACATGACCCGGGGGTAGTTTAAAAAGTAAAATATAAAATTATAATTATTAATTTAAAACTTCTCTTTATATATATTATTGTATATATATCCAAAAATATTATATATTAATTCTAAATAATTTATATTATATTTTTATTATTTAGTTATTGAGTTATAAAATGTTGTGACATATCGAATTGTTATACTAAATATATGCACAAATAGAATAGATGATTAAAAATAGATTAGAAATAATAAACCAAGCGAAACTCTGACTAATTAAACTGACGCGGTTCTCCTTTATTAGTTTGTCTGAACGGTACCTTTTAAACGCGTCTCCTACTGTTTCTTGGATTCCTTGCAGATGATGTTAAGTCAAGGGACAAAGTCTTAAAAGTAAAAGAAACTTTGTCTACCGCAATGATCACGACCCAAACGACAACATCATGTAACATCAAACGATTGAGTACAGAGTGTGTGTGTCTATGTTGATTTTTTTAAAGCAACTTTAGCCCACAGAACATGCTCAATCTACAATAGCAAAACAAATCCGCTGCAACTTGATCTAAATCAAATGCTACATAAATCAAAAGTGTACCAATCAGCTATGATCATCATTGAGACCCCAATAATCAATCATGTTCCCAACTCAACTCTTGCACGCCCTTCTTCCATCCCTCTTCCATCACTCTAGCATTTTCTATTTTTTATGCTTCAAATACAATGTAAACCAAAAATTACGCCAAATTAATAGTACTAGGCGACTTGTTAAACGACATATTAAAAACTACTAACCAATTTTCAATATTGTTGTTCCAACAATGTCAATCGTTATCATATCATCAATTAGCTAGTTCAGTCGCTGCTATTAATTCGAGCTAAAAATCCGAACCATAACGATACAAATATGGTATTCTTAATCTTATCAATCTCCACCGAGTAAAACACTCATTTCCTTGCTTGAATTTAGAGCACGTAGTTGTATTAATTTTTTAGGTTACGAAATTATAAAATAAGTATATGTAAATATAAATTAACAATTGTATTAGTCTAAAACTTAATAATTGTATGATTAAAAAAACATTAATGTATATTAGAGACTTAAATTGATAATTTTAAAATTTTAATACTAATATAACACGTTTTTAAATTTTAAACACTAAATTAAGTGTTTGCACTTCTCCGGTAATTGTATTCACACTGTTGGTGCCAAATTGAGAAACAACATACATAGAATTGAACGTAGGGAAATGAAGCTTATCCTCATTTATTTTTTGATCGTGTATATATGAAAGGCAAGGAAGATGGTTGTTTGATTTCATCATATATATCTGGAAAACATAAGATGAGAAACGCAGAATTTGACTTACCAAGAGAGACAGAAAATTAAGAGATATGATTTGATATGATATGATATAATGATTTGTTGAAGGGCGCACGTACGTATTTGGTTCATTCGAGAAGAACAGCTTGGGTCTTGCTCCCTTTAGCCGTCCTCCTCCTGGCGGCGGCGGAGGCGGAGGCGGCGTGAGGGTGGAGGTTGGCGTCGTTGAGCATCAAGGGCAAGTCGTTGGCGTCTTCGGCGTCTTCCTCGGTGGTGATGCGAATGCAATAGCAGCGGTTTAGGGAGGCGAAGAAAGCCATGGTGACGCCGTTGATGAACCACTTTGCCACCCCATCGAACTTTCCGCAACCGGAAGAGGAGTGGTGGCGGAGGCTGGACTCGACGGAGCTTGGCGATCGGAGGGTGAAGAAGGCGCTGCAGGTGGTGGCGCCCATGGCAATGGCATGTAAGATCACTCTCAGAACAGCTTAAGAACCTTGCTAAGTGCTAAGGGACTCTACATACAAATTATAAATTTTTATCTTCGTTCCACCAATATATTAACACCCCATTTTATATCAAATATTTCTAATTAGCTTTTCTCGTAACCATCTCAAAATATTTAATAATAAATTTACTTTATGGATAAAAAAAATAATAAATCTACTTTACTTTCTCATTCACTCACACCCTCATTTCTCACTCTTTTTTTATTCATTATTTCATCTCTTCTTTATTACAATAAGAAAAAAATAATTTTAAATATATTAAAAAAATTAATTATTTACATTAAGTTTTACCAACTCATATTATTTTTTTTCAAATTATCCTGATTATAAATGTAAAAAAAAATACAATTAAAAAGAATGTTTTGAGAAGAGTTTCATTGTACAATATAAAAGTAATTATAATTTATTTATATATATAAAAAAATTCTTTTAATAGACACCAGAGGAAATATATTGTAAAATTAAGTGATTATCTCGTATAAAATTTACAAATATCTACATATTATTGCAATGTGTAACATTCCATTTTTTTATATAAATTTTAAAAAATAAATTTTATTTATTTATTTTAAAATAAATATAAGAAACTATAAGTAATAAATTTATATTTTAGAGAAAAAATAAAGTTATAAGAATTAATGTTAAATTTTGCAACCAATTGAGCTTATTATTACTTTTGTTCATTCGTTTTTATTTACCGAAGGGAAAACATACAAACTCTGTATACTTTCGGTTTTGATGAGTACAAACTTTGTATGAGATTTATATATTAATTATTGAACTTTGAGATACATCACTAAATATTAGATTGGTTTATATAATTTTTTTTATAAAAGTGGTTTTTAAATATATATATATATATTATGTATTTGTCTAAATATTTTAATAAAATAAACTGATTTCTTTTTTTTTTTATAAGAAAAAGCTCTATCTATTTTTTAAATAATATTTTTTAAAAGCATTTGTTTAAAAACTATAATTTTTGAATTTAAACAAACAAACTCATTAATTCTCTTGTTGTATTGATATTCTTTACATATAAAAAATGAAAATAATTATCTTAATATAAGTATCTTTTTAAAAGGTTTATGTAAAAAAAAAAATTAAAAGATTTTTCTTTGGAGAAAGTATTTTGAGATTTTTTTGTAAATTTCTTATAATATATTAAAAATATTATTTAATTATAAATTTTAGTTATATAATATAAATATTTATCTATACATTGCATAAATTAAAATGCATATTCTTATATTTTTTTTATATTTCTTATTTTTTCTTGATCAAACACACAATATTATTGATCTCTAACATTTAAATAATCTAAAAACAATTATTGAACTATAATTTGTTATTATTATTACTAAAGAGTCCGAGACATTTCGTGCCTCTATTATACACAGAAAAATATTAAAAATTATGGATAATTATTAAAAAATACATATATATATATATATATATATTTTTTATATTTAGGAAGTATAATTGTCTACTAAAAATGAAGACCAAAAAGGTGATTAATAAAATATATCCTCTTTATAATATATATAGATCAAAATACTATCATCTAATTCATATAATTAATAATATTTTTCATAACCAAAATCCAACATAATTAATAAATAACTAAAGTTTCTTAAGATTATTGACAGGAATTCTCTTTAAAAATTGATTTGGACATATCTTTCGTTCACATAAAAAAATAATAAGATTTTTCATTAAAAAAACGGTTAATATAAAATTGTAAATATTAAATATTAAATTTAAATATATTTTTAATTTTTGTAAAATGAATAAGTTTAGATTTTGATTTTTATAATAGAATTCGTTGTTTTCCAAATAAGAAATGATGAAATTTAAGAAATAATTAGAATAAAATTAAAAGTAATGAAATCTATGTACAAATAAAATGATATTTAAGGAATAATTATAATAAAATTAAAGTTTAAAATAACTATTTATAAAGAACTAAAGCTTGTATAATAAATGAGATATAAATCATATAACTGTAATTGATATAGATTTCGTGCGTATATTTTTGTACTAAGAAGCATTTTTTTCCTTATAAATAATTAAGTTTTATCCTATAAATAAATTGACACGTAGATAGGAAGCGATCGCATGGTGAAGAATCAAAGACGGCAGAATAAAAACTAGTTGCGTTGCATCTCACATAAAATACACGCTAGAGAGTACAGACAGCTAATTTAAATTGTTTCTTAAATTTCATGATAAGTTACGTTGACAAGTGACAACTAATGATCAACAATAACATCTTCGTGTAGGGATTATCGA